ATAAAGTATTCAAAGATGAAGTACCAACACCTGCTTTAATAACAATTGCATTCATGTGCTTGAGCAGCCAGCAACATCATCACTCTGAAACGCATTAGAACATTTTTGCAGTAATGTCAAGAGTATTGGTTCAGCAAAGCTGTCAGCAAATAATGAATAAAAACGAGAATCAATTAATTAACTCAGTTAGATGTATATAATATGAATTACAGTTTTTTTTAAATTCATTTTTATTAAAAATCTCAACCTTGTAAAGATATTAATGCTATTTCAACTGGCCTGTGTGCTGCAACATTGTGTGTTAAACATGCATGCTTGTTGTGTTTGTAGGCTCCTGTTCAGTATCAGGCCTTGATGGAGATGGAGTACCTGGACAGCGTCATCAATGAGTCTCTGCGACTGTTTCCTATTGCTCCACGTCTGGAACGTGTGGCCAAGGCATCTGTGGAGATAAATGGCCTTGTGATTCCAAAAGACATGGTTGTCATGATCCCCACATGGCCTCTGCACAGGGATCCTGAGATGTGGCCTGAACCTGAGACATTTAAACCTGAGAGGTAGAGAGAGAATGCACATCATATATATATATATATATATATATATATATATATATATATATAATGCATTTGCAGATGTGAGTGTGTTTGTATATATATTTTCTGTGTTTATCTGTTTAGATTTAGCAAGAAAAACAAGGACAAAATCGATCCATACACATACATGCCTTTTGGGTCTGGGCCAAGGAACTGCATTGGCATGAGATTTGCTCTGGTGATGATCAAATTGGCCGTGGTAGAGATTCTCCAGCAGTACAGCTTCTCTACTTGTAAAGAGACTGAGGTGAGACTACAGTAACCTGAAATTTCCTTTATTGGTAATCGAAACAGTACCTTGTTTTGGTGTTACGTAACATTATGACTTTTATCTTTGTCCACCCAAAGTTTATAAACTCTGCCTATCACGGAGCTTTTGTCAGTAATTTATGCTGATATCATTCTGTTTCACATGCTGTGAGAAGCAATATAGTTTAAAAGCCATGAGGCATCTCTCAATAGGTGTTGTTTTTTTGATGAATTTTTAAAATTAATTGACAGACGCCATGTTTTTCTGTGCAATCTTTACTGTTTTTTCTCCTAAACGTTGAATTATCTGCCAGATCCCTTTTGAGATGGATGGCCAGGGTTTTCTTGCACCGAAAAGACCCATCCAACTGAAGCTGGTGCCTCGCTCCTGATCTACCAGCCAAAGGAATACATCAGTTTGGCAGATTTTATACCTTCACTATGTGCAGTTTACATTGTTATTCCACAGAAAAAGTTTAATAAAAATTTACCATTGCATGTCTCCGCGCCGCGTCTGTATAACCTTAACTGAGTGATCAGTAAAACATTTGTTTTAAAGCAAAAACTCCATTAAACTGCTACTTATATTATATGCTAGGGAAATACAAATGCTACAGCTAGGGGGAGCCAACTGTGGGTTCTGGGCAGAGATAGCATCATCATCCCGACACAAGACTGGGTACCAAGTCCCAAGAATGGCTGGTATGTTGAGTGTCAGAGCAGTTAAACTAGGCTAAACTAGAAACCTGGAGTCCCCTGTAACTGATTTGCAAGACCGCATGAAGTACCCTCTTAAAGTCTACTACAAGATGCAAATACAGAACTATGGACAATCCCTACTTTGACCATGAATGGAAACAATCAGCCAATGTATACTATAACATGAACAGCCACAAGGAGCAATGCCCCTCCATGGAAATGATGACTGGAGACTCAACGCAGCATGAAGTGAAGTTAACCAGCTATTGGAGCAGAAGAAAATACAGTGAGCTGTCCTTACCTGAGGCCTTAGAAACTTCTTGGCAAAGACTGCCTTGGCTAACCCCTTAAGAGGTACACCAAAGATATAGAAGCCAGGAGAATAAACCAGATAGTCTCCACTGAACCATCTTGGTGGAGGGGAAAAACAAGAGAACAGCATCCCCAACCAAGGTTACAGACAGGGCAATGCCAGAAGAGAATATGAGAGAAGGCTGCAACACACAGAGCAGACCACAACAACCTGCCTGAAAAGGATCTAGTATCACAGTAGCCAACATCAAAGGAAGAGTCTTACATTTGTAGAGCTGGACAGCACTGGGCCCTGACAGGATTCACACATACTGGCTAAAGAAGCTAACTACACTTCCTGGTTGCCAGGCACCACAAATAAACCTGATGCTAATGGATAAGATACACCATGAATGGCTGATAGAAGGGCAGACGGTCCCGATCCCCTAGAATCCCAAGCAGGTACTGGTCCTAAACAACTGCCAGCCAATAAGGGCGACAGTGGTGTTGGATGTAGGAGTTTGCCCTGAAATCGAAGGATTGACTTTCAGTGTCATTGTGTATTGGGCAAGACACTTTGCCTGCATTATCTACTGACAATGCAGGTGAAGTGAAATGCAATGTACGGCAGCCCCACTTCTGTCAGTGAGCCCCAGGGCAGCTGTGGCTACAATGTAGCTTGCCACCATCAGTGTGTGAGTGTGTGCGTGAATGGGTGAATGAATGTAGTGTAAAGCGCTTTGGTCAAGTCTCCTGACTTGAATAAAGGTGATATATAAGTACATGCCATTTACCATTTACCAATACCCTGCCTTAGTACATGGGAGCTACTGTCTGGCATCATAGCAGCTAAGATGAACAATACATTTTATGGCCATTAGCAGCAAAAACAAAAACAAAAAACATTTAAATCCCTATCCTCTCAATAAGGTGTTTCCAAAACTCCACTTGAGGCCAGAAATCGACAACTGTTGTCTTGACAAAGACTCTTGTAATGAATGTATATTTATGTAATGATTAAAAAAACAGATAAAATAGAATAATGTTTTATAGTGCTGTTTGTGCTGCAATAATGGCCTTGTTCAATTTGGTAGTTAATCATCCGGCAGCAGATGGCACAAGTCTCCTGCTTTCTGATTTTGTGGCTCAAATTCTGAAAAAGTTAGAAACAGCAGCTCTGAACTGTACCAAATAGGAAGACCAACACATCTTTTGTAAATAACTAGTGACATTTCAAAGCAGAAAATGTACAGTAAATTGCAAGCTGGATTTCAATACATTACAATTCTTAAAAATGATATGCTTAAATGGGCAAAATAACTAAGGCCTTTATGAGGAATTTGCAGGTCAACATGATTTACCTAAGCACTAGTTAGAGCTAGTTACGTCTTCCTATTTCTTTTGAAAAAAAAATCCCTTTTGGTTTGTTTTAGAAAATCATAACAATGGATAAATAATGTTATTGGTTTATAATTCAAATCAACTTAAAAAAAAAAGAATAACAGCCAGATCTAATTACAAAATAAAATATTTTTTTCAAACAATATTAAAGATAGATATTAAGTTAAAATACCACACTGATGAAGTTTAGTCTGGCCACAATTTGTCTACGCTAAACATATCTGATCTTAATGGTGAAAAAAATAAAATAAAATGGTTTTAGAAAAAAGAAATCAATAAATTTAAAGAAAATATGTTTTTTTAGCTAACATTCTTAAAACAGCAAAAAACTTCATTTTCCAACATAAATAAAAAAAAATGTTTTACTCTTCTGTTTACATTTTCTGAATGTTTAATTACTTTTGTATATTTCTGATTAATAAAAGATTAAATGATGCATTAAATGATCATTCATTAAATAGTATTCAACATTAATGAAAGTTTTTTCATCTTTGGTAATTGAACAGCGCCGCCCTGTGGATAGTCTAGTCTTTGTTCCCATTTTGGCTCCTGCTCCTTCACTAATCCATTTTCCAGAGTTTTCAACCATCTTGTTCTTTCCATGTTTATAAACAGAGCGTAGAGATAAAAAAAAAAAAAGAAGAAAGAAAATAAAAGAGATGTGGGCAAACCAGCTCGTCTACAGCCAAGTTGTGCTTTAGTGTCATATATGATCTAAATATCTGATATTTCACCAAATACCTCAAAAAGACATTCTTGTATCTCCATGAGCACCCCAACTGTAAATGTACATCTATATTTCAGCTTTGATGAATTTACCTGGTAAAAAAAAAAATCTATGTTTTTAGTTTTTATATAAAACTTAAATGGAAAAGATTAAATAAATCATCAATAATGCATGTATTAACTGTTGCATTTGTTCTAACAAACCACTGAACAAAAACAAAAGTTTCCTGAAGTGAAAACATGAACTGCAGCTGAACTACCCAGAGGCCCAGATGTGACGTTCAGGAAAGAAAGGATGTCATGTTTCTGTGTTTAGTCTTGCTATAAGAATACTCCAGTCTGTTAGTGGGACTAACACATGTTCACTTTATTTACTTCAGCTTTCAACAACATTGTGAAGCACTAAGAGTTGCCTTTGCACAGCAGTAACCGTAAAACCGCATCAAACTGAGCTGATCTGTAAATCATTAAATGTTATGCAGGCTTTCCTTGAGGGCAGCGCACTAAATCTGAGACAGTTTAACTCATTATAGTCGCTTAACTCTATATTTTCTTATTGCCCTTTCCATATTATGTTATTTTCTACATCTTTAAAATACCTTACTTTTTCTTGTTTTTATGTATTGTATCCTCATTTGTTATTTAACAGAATTTAATATGCTGTATTGTATGTTGACATTGTGTATATATTTAGTCTAAATTTAATTTAATCATTGAAAGAAGATATAAATCAAGACATGTTGCATATAGTAGCTGAAATTACATAGAAAATGGAATACTTGTAGAAAGATAAATAACTATAGAGAAATATGGTCATTATGATAAAAGTCGTTTCTATAAGAATTGGAAATGGATTTGTAATAGAGTGTACTTTTGTTTTTAACCAAAATATTGTTACATTTGCCAAGCGATTTGTGCAGGTCTTGGTTGTTTTTATTACTTTGTATGAAATTTCTTCTTATTTAATGGAAATAGAAGAAATACAGTCTAATTGATGTTCAACCCAACTAATTATTACATCTGACTGTTTTATGAGTTCCTTTTTTTTGTACCATATATGCAAGGATGTTTTTAATAACATGTAGGTGCTAGAAGAGAACAGTCATGATCGTTTGAAGTTTGAAAATGAGTTAACACTCCTAACTTTCTTCAAGATGTATAATGCAGTACTGATGAGATGAAGAAAGAGGCCATAATAGTACACAATAGATTAAATGCAATGCTCTTTACAATGAGAGACATTCTCAACTCTACTCAGTGTTCTTTGGGAAATAGAAATATTTACAGAAATAGAATGATGGTTTAATGTTTCCACAGAGAAAAAATTAATTACAGTGATTTCAATGAGAAAAAAGTATTAGTAATTAAGAAGATCGTAGAACCTATCAAAACTATATAAATGTAAGAAAAGGGTACTACTTGAATATGATTATCATGTTTGGTTGTTTTATTTGTCCAATGGCAATCATACTAATACATTTGCTTTTTGAACAGCAATTAAATACAGTTTATTATTAATTTAAATGTCTTTTTCTGACTTCAGTGTTTCAATATATATATATATATATATATATATATATATA